GTCCAGCTGTTTACGCTGTAAACAAAAGTACGCTCCGAGCTGGGAGCCTGGTTCCGAACTGTGTGGTCATTTCCACGTCAGCCTCAGCTAAACGCCGTGAAGGCTCACTTACTGGGCTCGCTGCGGTGGTTCTGGTTCCCCCGGAGTGGACGCAGGTCGACGCAGGGGGAAGTTAGCAGACCGGACTCGGGGCGAGCTCGCGGATGTAGCCGGCTAAGCTACCAACCTAACGGTCCGTGTCGGCTCCCCGCGCGAGCCCGGTTCCTCTCTCTAATTGCTCGTTTGCTGCCATTCCGTTGCCCCCACACGTCCCTTTCCTCGAATTTCCTGCTCAATGGCATGCTATTTAACAGTACCCGACATGCTCGTAATTAGGTTATTTGTTTGTTTTTAAACACACAAACAAACCAAAACGACAACTTGTCACCGGCAACGCGTTCAGTCCCTCGACGGAGTCACTTTTTAGGAGCAGATTAAACTAAGTGTAGAGTACAAACTGCGATGACGACGGTGGCGGGGCGGAGCAGGATGCCTCACGTTCTCTTCTGCTGGTTCGTTCTTCCGTGTTTAAGATGTTTTCTTCTCACATGAGACGGCCGAGACGCGTCAGACACGTCGACAACCTGGGGACTGCCATCACCTCGCTTCAGGCGGTGTTATACCATCTTTGAAGGAGTCAGGCTCCCCCATTGAACACATCAATGGGGGAGTAACTGATAATAATACATTAAAACAAGAGCATTGCAGCACATGATCTGCACGCTGCCTGGGATGTTGAGAGCTGGGCAATCCTTTAACATGATTTAGTGAGATCTTAACGTGCCTTCAGCAGTCAGATACAGTGTAATACCACAGGTGTTACCCTGTCATTGTGAATCTTTTCATGCATAAGGGTCACTGCAGTGGTCAGATATCTAATAGCCATTTGCTTTTGTATATATGTTTTTTTAATGTGCGTAGGCCACCCAAGTAGAAACTGGTGCATCATCCAGTGAAAATAAAATAGTCCATACATACTGTTTTAATACTTCAAGGGGTTGAATGAGCGGGAGTGAGAAAGGAATTACAGATTTGATTACAGATGTCCTGAGGCAAAGTGTAAAATTCCCCCTGTGATCTTACCAATACAATTCTGAATAGTGTTTTAGGCATTGTTGATACTGAGTAAGATAAGTAAAAACAGAGAGGGATCTGCAGACGGATTGTTAGCACATGACATAAATGACATGAGCACACATAACATTGGAAACAGTAACATTTTTTTTCTCGCGCTCTCTCTTTAATTTGCCATCTGAGTTCAATCATTCAAAGTGGTGTTGTGGTTAGCACCGTTAACAGTCAGAGGGTTGCTGGTTCCTATCCTAGCCGGGGGCCATTATGTGTGGAGTTTGCTTGCATATGGCTTCTTCCCACAGTCCAAAAACATGCTTGTTAGGGTAAGTTTGGAGTCTAAATTGCCTTCAGGAGTGAGCGTGCACGGGTCTCTGTCTTGTTTGTCTGTGTGTGTGGCCCTGTGACGGAGCGGCCACCTGTCCAGGGTGTACCACACCACTGACTTTGCATGATATGAGCTCATGATGATCCTGCCAGAGGAAATATTTCCCCCCAATGGATATTGTGAGTCTATTATCCTTATTAATTAAAGCAGCAAGAGGGAAATGTGTTATGCATGATTCTGATTAGAACCTTGCCACATTTTCTAAATGTCCCTCCATTAAGTGACAGTTTAAGTGTGTGAATCAGTTTATGTCTCTCTGTGGGGACATTTCGCTATACTCAACTAAAAATATGAAAACATTGTCTTTTTCAATTGTTTTGTATAGTGTGTGTGTGTTTTGTTTGAAAATGATAAAATGAAGACTTCCTTGAACAAAAGGTTCTTGATTGATGGATAGCTTTTGGTTCCTGAACTTGCTAAGACCTTAAAGTCGTGCTAATTCAAGGAAATCAAACCAATCTTTTTTCCTGTTTCAGCGGCGGCCGGGTTGGCTGACAGAGCAAAGAGGTTTTAATGAAAATGTTTCTCAAAGCTGTCACCGAGACAAAGCATCAGTGCGACCAGACATAGCTTTGGATAGATAGAGTAGTGAAGAGTCAGTGAGTTACAGGTGAATTTGTATATTTATTATTTGGTTTAGACAGTGGTTGATGATCAAACCTATTTATTTTGAAATTCTCACTGACTTCTTTTTTAGGGTGAGATGGGGGAAAAAAGAAAAAAAAACAAGTGGGGACACTTATTAAGAAGGAGAGCTAAACTTTTTGTATGTATAAATACTCATGCAAAAAACAAAAAAGAAGAGAAGAAAAACACATTTTTGGATGATACAGTAAAGACGGCAAAGACATTTCAACAGTTGGCTGAACAAAAGAGACATTGCTCGTGCTTTTGGCTCAACATGAATCAAATGAATACATTCTGGATTGAAACCGCAAACTGAAAACAGCTGTAATAATCACTTCCAACTGCAGTACTCTGATGAACACCTGCTACATGTTCAAAAACCTATCTAGAGACAGACAAGTCTGAAGACAACAACAGGCTTTTTATTCAATAAACTTCCACTAATGGTCCCTACATGCTTCGACTGATTCAGTAAATACATGTTTCTATGTGGAGCCACAGTGACACTGCACTACTCTCTCTCTTTGGGGCTCATTTGGAACTATAACTCATTGGGCTCATTTGGAACTATAACTTGATTTAATTTGCACCACACGGCCACTGGATATTAAACCTCATCACCGGACTGAACACAAAGATTTTCTCAAGACAGAAAAAGTTTGTTGTCCTGATTTATACTAAACAAAAACAAACAAAAAAACACAAGTGGGCAATGTATGAGTAAACGTCTTCATTGGGAGACCAATGCATCCCAGATGACCTCAAATAAAGACATGAGATGATTCAGTGGGATATTTAGAAACGTAAAATGTATATTTAAGACACAAAATCCTCATGAATTCATTTCTTCTGAGAGATTTTCATTCCAAAAACAAGTGCTGCAAGAAAAGAGCCGTGATAACGGAAATAACTCAATTCAGAATTGACAGGCATAAAGCTTTTTGGTCCCAGCAGATCTTCATTAAGAGAAACAGCTGATGGGCAAAGAGAGACATAAGGGAACGATCGCTTTCAGGGAAAATTCACAGGGCCGGTGTGAGAAAGCTGCAGCAGGCTGAGCTTTGTCGCCACCATGCTGTTTGTATCGAGCAATGCACCTTTTTGATGATTTAAACATTCTCCCATCTTTTCAGTTGCTGGGACAGCTTGGACACAATGTAAGAATCTAGGTCAGCTTCAGGAAACAAAAGAGTTAATTAGTTCCTGTGCTTCTGAGGAATACACTTGCTCTCTCTCTCTCTCACACACACACACACACACACACACACTGATTCTCACAGTCAGCATTATCCCCAGAAGGGAGCAGATGGAAGCAGGGACTGACTGTCACCTCACCACTTGGAAATGCATCTAGTCATCTTTTCTGGGTGAACCCAGCGGGTCTCTTTCCTGGATAATGACTGGGATTTGAAAGCTTTGGATCTTGGATTGGACGTGTGGAATCTTTTTGGTTGTAGTTTCCAACAAAAACGAGTATCTTTTCTCCAGTACTGGCTCTGGATGAGCCAGCAGTTTAAAGGTGGGGCTAGATCATCGACTCCCTGTGGGTCTTCAGCCTGTTTTACAAACTGTACATATGCTCTGTCTGAAGACCAGGAATTAATTCAAATATGGATATAGACTTATGTCACTATGTCCATTTATTTAATCATGCTGTAATCTAGTCATGATAAGTCATTTCTAAGTATCCAAAGTGAATGTAGATGTAGACGAACTATAAATGATAATAAGGATAATCTTCAACTCTTACAGAATAACCCGACTGTGCACCTTTGAAATCCAGAGGACCCGTTATGTCAGGCTCCTCTGACACTCTGCAGTTCAGCCTGCCCACCCATGGAGACGCCATCCTTTGCAAAATGAATGTTCTGCGGGAAGAGAATCGATTCTGCGATATCACACTCATCATCGGGGGTTCCAGCGTCTCCGCTGCCCAGACAGCCCGTTTCCACGGCCACAGAGTGGTGCTTGCAGCTTCCTCCGACTTCCTACGCGATCAGTTCCTGCTCCATGAAGAGCAGGCAGAACTGAGTGTGGGTGTAGTTTCCAGTGCGAGAGTTGCCAAGACTCTGCTGCTGTCCTGCTACACTGGACTCTTAGAGGTGCAACGCAACCTGATTCAGTTTTTTAGCAGAGATACACACAAAAAAGGCCTGGTTCAGTGAGCTGTCAAGGGGAAATCACCACAGAGATTACTGACATGCAACATACCAATTACTGTCTCAAATGGCAGGAAAAGTACTCCATCAGTTTCTGACATGTGAAACGTCCATGTTGGCTTGACTTTGACTGTTTTTGTTCTTTCTCATAGTTAACTAAATGTACTTGTTTGCTTTTTCTACAACCACCTTTTGCAGGTTCCTCTGAGGGAGCTGGTGAGCTATCTGGTTGCAGCCAGCGCGCTCCGTATGAGCCAGGTGGTGGAAAAATGTACCCAGGCCCTCTCCCACTGCCTCAGCTCCATCCCGGTTTGTTTGAAACTGGAGAGACACTTGGAGGATGAAGTAAAACAGCAGCTAGACAGCGGCCGGCCGAGTTCCGGCTCTGAAACTCTGGGAGAAATGGATGCAGTCCCTCCAAATATCCAGGAACCAAATACCAAGGAAGAGGGAGCTGCTGACCAAGTTGACCAAGAAGCTGAGATGGTAGCAGACAGGGTGGGAGAGAAAACTCAACTGGGGACGAGTGAAGATGGAGCATTTAGTCCTGCCACTGTGGAGTCAGAGGACGGTAGCGGCACCGAGTCCATTTGCAACACTTCAGCATACCTCAAGGACAGTCCAGCCCCTCATTCAGTTTCCCAAGACCCCAGCACGGGAAGTTTTGGAAGTTGTGAAGATTTAGTGGACGGTGTTCAGACACAGCAAAGGCAAACACAAGAGCCAACGACAGAGGCCACGCTGGCCGTGCGGCTGCATGGAGATGAGGCGGAGGACCCGGACAGCCCGCCGGCCCAGAGGCCGTACCTGTGCAGGAGGTGCGACCGGATCTTCCAGCACCTGGAGAACTACATGAGACACCTGAAGGAACACAGGCAACACCTCTGTTTGGTCTGCGGGGAAGGCTTCTCCCAGAGGAGCAAACTGACTCGGCACATCCACGTCCACACGGGCGTCAAGCTCTTCCGGTGCCCGCTGTGCCACCGGCAGTTCACCCAGAGGGGGGCGCTGCAGGAGCACCTCCTCCTGCACACGCGGGATGGGTCCCGCCCGGGTCCCGCGCACAAGCCAGGCCTCAGGGAGCACCTGAGCGGGGGGAAACCCAGCCAGCAGGAAGTGCCCAGGAAAGCCCAGACGCAAGGGCACCAGGAATCTGGAACAATGTAGCTGGTCTCATCTGCTTTATGAAAAAACCTGCTCAAAAGAGAGTGCAATACCCCAATTTTTTTTTCAAATGAATTGCTTGTCATTTAGAATATGTGTGCAAAAACTGCATCAGCTACATATTGCATATCAGCCATTTTGCTTCAGGCTTGGTCACCATTACCAAAGAATAAAGATCTCTGATCATCACATGACTGAGCGGTTATTATATTGATTCTGCCTTGGATATATGGTCCAGTTTTGGGTCACTGTGTACAAGTTTTTGGACAGATTTGAGTCGAACTGACTGATCTTCATCAAAAAACCCCAAACTGGAAATTACTTCAACAGCACAATTCTACAGCACTTCTTTTTCCTGAAGACTTTACGTTCCATTCAGACCATTTTAAGCTGATTTACAAAGACATGAACAGGAGCTGTGATGTCTCTGTTGCTATTTCTGTAGCAACAGTTTAGTGAGCGATACGCTGTAATTACGCTGTGATAAGCTAAGATATTTTTATAAAAAAATGTTTTTCCTTTCTTAAAAAAATAGAAACCAAATAATAAATTTACTGACTTAGAGGATGTCCACCCTTACTGACAGGGCGAGAGCAAAATTGTTAAACGGCTTGCAACCAATGCACACATTCTGTGTGCATTGGTGCCTTTGTTCCCTGTGTCCCCATAGATTATTGTGTTTTACAAAGACGATAAGCTATATGTAAATGGGTAAGTCGGCAAAAAAAAAAGAAAAGATTTTTCATCGAGGGTTTGAGAAGAAAATATTTGTCATTTTAATGCATTCACACACCCTTGCAATTTAGTTCTCAAGATTTTTCGTTCACATGAGAAACAACATGCCGTCATGCCCCAGTGAGTCGTCAGACTGGCATTGATTTACCTTTTGACCCCAGTGAAATCGTGTGCAGCTCACTGAGCGTGACTCTGTAAGTGAGTGGGTTCCCCCGCAGAGCTGAGAGCTCTCTAGCTTGTCTCCATCCTTTATGTCTTCTGTGGTCCCTCAGTTATTCTATTTGGCCCAGAAATGTCACTGTTGCTCATCTCACAGAATGGAATGGTGGCCGGTGGGCATCTGAAACACCACAGGCTCTGTGTGCAGACACAAAGAGGGCTTGGTAGGATATGCGTCCAAACACATAGGAGATTGTGCAAATGTGTATCTGTGTGTTAGGCCAAGGAAGATTAAATCATGCGATTGTTCCAGTGATGGCAAATCCTCTTTTTTTTCATTCACAGCAACAGCATTTATGTTCTCCCTGAAGTAGGTCAAATGCTTGTGTGAACATGTGAATGCACACACAACCGCATTCATAACCCACATACACAAAAATAGACAACGGGCACAGTGGATCACGTACCTACATTATGAATGAGAGTCTGGGAGGTACTCTGTATGAGGAGTAGTGTATTTTGATTTCATAACACAAAGTACTCCGATTACTCTGGGTTTGAAAGAAACAAAGAGCTTAAAGCTTTCAAATGTATTTATTTGTTCATGTTGGTCATTTTTAATGAAACCATCCAATGTTTTGGTGTTTTGTTTTGTCGAAAATGGTCTTTAAGTCACCCCTGGTGGTCACCGCTGCTCTTTGATTTGTATTCCCAGGGATTTACTGTAAATTTGGACTATGGGGATTCACAGAAAGTGTCTTGGGAAGATTACAGATAAGTGTCGAAATGCTTAAAGTAAATTTCGTACAACTTCCTTCAGCTAATTTATTTTTCTTGATTGTAACCCGTACTGATGACGTCTTTAGCTCTCGTGGCCGACCAACAGGTCATAAGCCTGAAGTTAAAACCATGGAAATATCCTGTAATTTGATGGCAGAACTGCTGCCAGCATATTCAGGATGCAGTTATTGTCAACACATTAAGAAATTAGACAATAACTAAGCTTAACCATTCTATCTTATCCAACTTAAATCAATTCAGTTGCATTCATATTGTCCTAAATCACAACAAATTCGATCTCTACACTCCGCAAAATAAATTCCAATTCAAGCCATTTAGGATCAAATTCAACTACTTCAACTATGTGCTACTGATTACTATGAACATCCTCATACTGCCCTACACTGGCCTTCTCTTCAACCCACAACGCACACAGCAGCTGTTAAGGGAAGGCTGTTGCATGTTTACTGCTGGGATTGGTTCTCTAGGATGTACCAGGTGGTGAATTTGAATCACATAGTGTCCTCATAAATAAGGCGGCCTCCTATGCAGTGTGCAGCACATTATTTATACAAGCATTATTACTCTAAGGTGTGGATGCATTTAGCTTTGTGAGGCCTATGTGGCCACTGGGTACCTATAATACCAGTCTCACTGAAGACTTAATCTGTTATAAACAACAAGGTAATGCTATATCCAATTAATAGGATTACAGCTTTGACAAGTTGGTGAATGCCAGCTGCCTGAATGGTGTTATCTGCTTGTAAACTGGGTCTAATCTGTGTCCACCTACACACACACATTTGTTCAACAGCCATGTATGCCAGATATTTAAATGTAATAAAACGTCTGTTGAGATAAAGAGTTTGAATACTCAAATGGCCCTAACTGGAATATTCAGCCTGACTGCTTCGTTTGGGACTAGGTTGGAGAGGTTTGACATGGCAGGATGGCAGAGGCGCAGCTTGCTTCTTCTTCCGCTTCTTTTTCTTCCCCGAGCAGAAGTGAAAAGAAGAAGAAAAAGCGCGCAGTGTGGCTGTGTGCTGAACTTCCTCCTGACGGGCGCACTTGTCAAAGCGCATCCCTCCCTCCTCCCCTCCTCCCCTCCTCTCCTCTCCTCCCCTCCCTCCCTCCTGCCATCGCTCTGCCTCTCGGTCTGTTTCTTTAAAACCCAGCCAGCCCACGCCTCGAAAAGCGGCTTGTTCCGGCTTGCCCCTTTACATCATTTTATCCTTGCTCACAACATTAAAATAGTGCCCGCCGATAGTCGACCGACCCCCCCCCCCCCCCCCGCTCCCATCCATTTGCATCGTGTCGGGCCTGACCCCGGCTGCCGTGCACGTGGTGCGGGGAGCGTGCGCGATGCGCGGCTCTGCGGCTGTGCGTCCGCGCGGGCGCAGCCCCGGCCCCAGCACAGCCTCCGCCCGCGGAGCGATACCGCCATCCCCGCTCCGCTCCGGGCGCGCGGCTCTCCGCACCTGAGCGTCCGTCAGCAGCGTCGCAACAAAAAAAAAAGGAAAGAAAAGAAAAAAAAAAAGGGGGGGGGGGGGGGTCTCGACGCCGGGCCGCGGCACCTGTGTGCGTGCACTGCGCTGAAATGCGGGGTCGGATCGCTCCGCTTTCCAGAGTCATCCGTCCGGGGCTGCGCCTGCTCCGCAACTGAGGAGAGAGATTTGCTTTTTTTTCTTTTGATGCTTTTCGTTTGGGCGTCCGTGAAGATGTTTACTCCGGTGCGCCCGTAAGGAGTGTGAGGTAAGTGACTTACAGGGGATGCGCTACGCTGGGGTTCACGCTTCTGTTCTCCCCCACCTTTCAGGTGGAGGTTTAAGATGTGTTATATATATATACATATACCTTTCACACTTTAATGCTGTTTGAGTGCATCTCCACCCACCCCTCCACCACCATCAGTAGAATTGTTTACTGTCTTATAGCAGCTGCTGGATTTTGGTTAGAAAAAAATCATTCTCCTGTGGGCTCATTACAAAATACATGAAAGTGGAGCTGAGAGGAAACTGTGAGGCGTTTGCTGGCTGTGTGGCTGTCAGTGCAGAGCAGGGATTGATCACAGAGGGGGGAGCATTCAGAGTAGATGTGCCATTGTAATGGTGGAGAATGAGTGATGTTTTGATGTTTCCTCTGGGGCGTGCAGAGTGGAACGTAAACAATGGTCAAACATTTCTAGTAAATTCACCATCACCGCTCTCAGAGTGATCCCAGTCCCCCCCCCCCCCCCCTCCCGCTCAGAAGCAGCTCCAACTGCACTCCGAGAGGCAGCGCTGTCACCATAAAGTTAAAGCACGCGGCCATCTGCCATGTCACCGGTTACTGAGTAACCTGCTCACACGCAACGGGAAGCAACTGGATATTCTCACATCATGAGGCGGACCGGACAACTCCTGTTACAGCAGACACATATAGACACACGCTGCTGCGTAAACCCCGCTCCAGTCTGCAGCTCCTCACTGCCCCTGCCTCCCATCCAGGCACAACCCCCCCACACACACACACAAACACAGGGTGACATGCACAATGAATAAATAATCAGTCAAACCCACACACCCTTCCGACAGGCGCACATGAAACAACAAGACACTGAAACTGTGATTCTGTTGCTGTATACCTTGAGGAACTGACAAATGACACAGATCCAAATACGGAGACTGCACGGGCATCTTTATGGCCTCGTACAAAAACATTGTTTGGTGTTGTATCTGTGCCAGCATTGTGGGATGGTTTGAACTGGCAGGGCTGCATCGGGGGTTTTGTTGCTTCTAGTTCCTGTTGGAGTCTTTCAGACTATTAAAGTTTAACCTTCTGGTTAGTCTGTACCTGAAAGGGAAATAGAAAGTTAAGAGTTCACGGCCAAAGTTTGTTCAAGTCACGCCGCGAGAAAAGACTTTTTCAAGCATTTCCATTTGTTCTGTGTTAAACAGTGTGGTGGGTGTGAGCTTTCACTTTCGCTGCGGTTTCCTCTGCTGTTGGAGGTTGTGCTGGTGCCTCTCCACGTGAGTTCCCTTCAAAAGAGAAAAATAGAAACGTACACTTTTACACAAATACCCGAACGTGCTTGTTCAAGCTGTGAGCTCCTGTTGCATGTGAGGTTTTCAGAATTAAGTATTTTTTCCTGCTAGTATTGCTGAGCGTCATTATTCTTTGATTCTGGTGGAAATAGCCTCAGTCCAATAACGCCACCCTGCTCGCACCACATGGATGGTCGGGATTCTGAGATCACAGCCAGAGCATATCTTCTAATATGTGTCAGAACACTTTCTTTTAGTTTTTTTGCATGAATTGATGAGCCATGCTAAGACCCATTTTGATGCCTCTGGCTTTTACTGATCTACTTTTACTTTGCAATGGTCAGTATTAATGGAAACAGGGTGATAAATAGCTGTTTTCATGCGATGTAATTCATCCCACGATTGATTCTGAATACACTGAATCTCTGAATCTTAAAGCACTTCATAGATAATAAAGTGTCAAGTGCAATTCAGTTTATTCAAATACAATCATTATCCATCCATCTTCTATATCACTTATTCCCAATTCCAAATTGGTCCAGTGTGCAAAGAGGCGACTGTGGGGAGAAAAACTACCTCTCAACAAGGAGAGAAGCAAACTCAGGGAGGGCAGTCTTCTGCCTCCACCAGCTGGGGGATGACAAGGCAGGAAAGAGGACAGTAAGCGTCATGCCAGCAGGGATGCCTGCAGAGAAAGAGAAGCAAATGCTAATAAAAACAATTATATGTGTTCAGTTACAGTAAAGAGAGATGAGAGGGGCATCATGGGATGTATCAGAGTGACCTCAACTTTGTCTGAACCATGCACCGGGCTAGTTTCAATTTGGCTGAGAACGTAACTGTTCTGCTCTTGACACATTCTGGACTCATCCATCATTCATCCTCCTCGTGTGTCTGTGCAGTGACAGGGTGCAGCGGAGGTAACGGTTCCACCTCGTTCCACTGGGTCCACTACAATACTGAGCTCGAGTAGAAGAGAAAAAACGCTCGTGATGCAGCACACACAGAAACTACTTGCTCCCTGACTCAGACTCTTGCTGAGCAACCCATTAGTCTGAATTTAATGTTGAAAGTCCAAACCTCTGGAGACCACAAATATGAGTAATTGCAATTTCTTTCTCAACCAAAAGAATGAGCAGAACCATGCAGGGTTATGCAGAGACTGAACTTACAAAAGAAGATGTTTGAATTCAAGCAAAAGAACTAGATTTTATTTAAAAAAAGATTTGTATGCGTCTGTGTTTTGCACGTGTCCTGAATTCTTATTAGGTCTAAGGAGTCATCCACCATTTGCCAGAAACTCAGTAGGTGTTTCTGTTTCAATTTACAGTCTTGGAACTGAACTTTGAAAAAACAAGGTAGAGTATTGTTGGATCAAAGGGTAGGGTGAGTCAACATTTCTGTTGTGTGTGTTAGGGTTAGAACACACACACTTAAAAAGAAAAGTTGCTTAAAAAATAAGTTTCACCAAAATGTTCAGCATCTACTAAAGATATTTTAGCAACATGGCATCTAAGTTCATGTGAACCCACCTGCCTAACTATAAGCCAGTATTTGATGTGTTGTAGCTTTGTACTTCTTCTTAATTGGCTACCTGTTCCACGCTGATTCCTTCTACCCTCCATTTCAAGATGCAGGATGGTGGTTTCTATGGGAAACCACTATGCCTAGAAGGAAGCTACCAAACTGCATGTTAGTGGCTGAAAATGGCTGCAAGATCTTGAATCATACAGCCTGGCTTTGGCATAGTTGAAGATGCTTCCTCCTTTTGCTCTTTTTGAGAACATATTTAGGAGAGCTGTCCATGTGGGTAAGTGAGCCTTTAACCTTAAATTAACTAAATCAAATTGTAATCAAATCACGTGGCTCCAAACTGGAACAAAGTGAGCAGAGTGACAACACTCTTTAAAACTCCAAGTTCTGAAAAACACTTTCTAAAAACATTTATGTGTGAAGTTCCTTTAAAACTTTGCCAAAGGAAACTCGAGATGCCCTCCCCACCACTTAGATTGAAGGGGGGGGGGGGGGGGTTCTTAGTGAGGATTCATTGCAATCCTCAGCCAGATGATAGTCAGCCAACTGTTGGCTGTAAAGACACAATGTACTTCTCATCCTCCTCCTCCGCTCGCTCGGCGGAGTGGGTGTCTCAGCAGACCCTTGCAACAAATAACAGCTCAGCCAAGCCTTCTTTCGACAGGCCTAACAGACTAAAAATGTTCGTTGAGATCCATTGCATGCACATTGCATATGCTCAGTCATCCTTGATCTAGTCTTAAATTCCACAGCCTGGAGTTTTCCCGCTGAGGAGGATCTTGATGAGGAAGTCCTGGTCTGCTATAAAAACACACGCCCACTTCTTCTGTCACAAGACCTGAACTGAAGTAGTCATGACCGGGGGGAAGGGGAGGGGGGGGCGTTGGGGTGTGAGGGTGGCCTTTTGTGCCTTGTTGCATGTGACACATGCAGGCAGTGGTCCCCTCGTGCCATTCAGGGCTAAATCACAGCGTTTGGCGCTTCATTTGGAGTGTGGCGGAATGTGTGTGAGCGGAGGCTCGGAGCTCCGCGGCAGCTGCCACAAAGTCAGGGAGCAGCAGCTGAACAGAGGCAACAGGTGTCTGTCAACGTGACTGCAGCATGGAAATCACGGTTTTCCCCCCCCCCCCCCCCCTCCGAGACGCTGTACCACTCCCTAATCTGCGAACCCGGGCAGAGAGACTTTCATCCGGTTCACGCGCTAAGGGGTAAAACTCCCCACCTACTTTTCTTTAAAAAAAAAAAAAAGACAGAAGAAAAAAGCCCCCCTGACCTGTTCCATCACATGAGCGTTACCTCACTCTTCCCCAGACGGCGGGTTCAGCAGTTTGTAGGCTACAATGGCTGTGGTCGGTGTTAAATTTGGGCTCCTCTCGGAAGGAAATATGACGCGCGAGGACAGAGCGGAGCTGTCCACGCGGCCAAGGAGCCAGCGCGAGGTGCGAACAGTCTGGAAGGTGCGTATACGTCTGGCTTTATGCACGAAACATCGAATATTATATGGAAAATATGAAAAATATTCCTTTCGAATCTAAGTTTGGGGCGTAGTCGTTATCCCTCCGGCGCGCGCGCGCGCAATGCCCATTGCTAGCTACTCGTTTTCAATCAGTTGTTAGCCTGTTTTTCTTTTTTCTTTTTACAAAGTTGTTTTTTTAGACCAATTTATGAGAATTTCCAAGGTAACTAATGACTAATGCAGACAAGCAGTGCACTAAAGAAACGCACACTGGTCTCAGTTTACGTAAGCAGAATTTATTCAGAAGTTATTCCTCTGCGGATGTTCTCTGATTTCAACTTCTGTCTTTCTCTAAACTTAATATATGAATGCATGTAGTAAAACTTTAGAGAAGGATATGTTTCGTTTGTTACGACACCTGCTCTGTCAGGGGTTCAGCTGTTGTTTTGGTGAGGAGTTTGAACAGATGTGACAAACTGCTAAACCAACAGGTGCCTAATGTCTGCTCACGGTGTCAACGTTTTGCCTGCTGGAGCCTGGAAGGTGTTGTGTCTGTTGGATGAATTGCTTTGCTTTTATTTATGGGGTAAAACGGCACTCAGGAGATCAGCATCCAGCTGCACGACATGCCATTGTGGAATAGGAGGTTCTGTTTTTTTTTTTTTAACTGCATGAAGTACTCTCAGAAATGGCAAGTAAAATATTTGTGTTGTTGATGGAGGGGCACAGCAATTATGCCATGCTTTATATGTGGTGGGTTGTTGGAATGGTTAATGTTGGGATCAGATTATAACAAAGATATAAATCTAAACAAGGCCAAGAATATTGAGCATGTAGCCGTTTATGAGTACTGTGAAGGGTGTATCTTCATATTAAAATCTGACCAGTGTTTTACTTTATTATAGTTGTGTACAATAGTAATGTGCAATGCATTGTGGGAGTAATGTGCCCACTAAAACTCGCCTTGATCTGAGTGAAAGAAAAGCTTCAGATGATGAATTTACATGTAAACTGAACCATCAGGAGCCGCGATTTACTTGGCACTTTTTGGGTTTGGATCTTGTGGATACTTTTCTGTGTTGATTTCTGCCTGATGTTGGCACAGAGGAGCTGTGGTTCAACAAGTCTGAACTGGCTGGTTGACAGAGGCTTTGCTATGCGGAGCTGTAACATTCTTTATTATCCTTCAATACAGGAAGCATGATATTGGAGATATATTTTGGTTTAATACTTATTCATTAGTTATTAGTCATAGACTTTTCCAAACTTTGGATGTGTTGTGGATCATGAGCTGCTAAATAAGATGTCAATTTTTATTTTATTGCAACACGAAGATGAATGTCTTTTATCAGAGGATGCGCCTTTTACCATTCCATTCAGTCTGTGACAATATTAGCATGTAGCTAGTGTGTAGCTAGCTTGTTTATCTGTTTTATGAGGCCCAGGTCTGCACAACACTGGAAACTGTTCTCTATTCTTCATACACACAGTCACACACACACACACACACACACACACACACACACACACACACACACACACACA